CACAACAGCTCGTACACCACAGGACTCATATGTAAGACAGCACTTTTAGTTGTCAGCATGACAAGCATTCACTTAGCCTTTGTAAATCTGGACTAGCTCCCTCATTTAACTCTAAATGCTGGTGTCCTGCAGTCAGCGCACCCAGGATCTCTTGGATGGCTAGGTGCATGTAGCCTGGCCACATCTCTTGTCTACTTTTTTAACAAAGCCATGCCTTAACCTGTTTTATAAACTATTCTGACCTCATTTTAGTCGAAGTTCACTTCTTTTTTTTTATTCCACATGCATCTGTTATCGGTGAATCAGAACAGCATAGAATCAAGCTCTCTTCATTAAACTCTCAAATCACCCCGCCGAGTATCACGCTCATTCGGTCAAGTGAAGGCATGCTGAGGAAAAGTGGTGAACTGTCAAAACTCCGATTACACGCTGAAGTTGCTTTAGCCCAGTTAGGTAGCTAGCCATTCCCCTACCAACGCACATACACACGCGTTTGCGGCTAAGACAGCCAGCCGTAGTCTGGCGGTTGCGTCACGCCTGGTGTTAATCCGACAGCGACACCAAACCGCAGTTTGGCGACCAATCAGAAAATTACCGGCCGTGGCGCATTGCCAAACTTCGGAGGAGGGCGTGACGACTTGGGGGTCGTTGATGATGCAGAAAAAAAATCAGAGCGTGTGCATTTGGGACTTGTCTGCCACAGCTCTGCCAGACCAACCGCCGCCCGGTTTTGGACGACACAAGCCGCGAATAAAGGACTAGTTGAGCCTGCTGATGCGAAGCCAAGTACGCAACAATAAACACAAGAGGCAACGCTGTACTGGTTTGGATTTTCCTCCCGTAGCATGGCTGTCGGTCGCTCGGGGAAGAAAGTACATAGTAAAAAGTTTACTGAGCCTATAAGGCTCAAACAGGCTGATTTACTCCAAGTTGGCGGTTTATTTTTGAGGAAATCGAAAATCCACGATTCCAAAACTGGAGTATCTTCCAGAAAGAGCACAGGGGACGCTGGGAGACACACTGGTGAGCCGAACCCCTCGCAGCTGTGCCATGCAGCGGCAGAACATCGGCAAAACACGTGTCTGGGCTTTTAGCTAGCGCTTGTGCTGTCAAGTCTGGTATACTGTGCAACCCGTGACTGATAATAGATAATCGTTTCTGGGCTAAAAGGAATATGAATTTTCGTGGTGGCAACGATATGGAGAAGGACCCCACTTTACCGTCGGCAGACTGTGGATCGTGTCGTACGTAGTTGGTGATAAGGGAGTTTTTACGGGTGGGACAGCGCACTAGGCAGTAAGCTGACGAAATGCAAAAAAACACAGAAATTGGTTGGATTTCTCCGGAAAGATTCATCGTACGCTTTCTTACGACAACGGAAATGAGCACGGAATTAAAAATAAACAAAAAGTGAATTTCAAAAAGTAAAGGATTTTCAATGATGTTTTGAAGTCATGGCAAATGATTGTCATTGCCAATGTAATGTCTGCGAAGGCCTGCGAATGTATGCCAAGATAAAAGCCCATATGACGTGGTCCACAGGCTACCGACAGTAAAGTGGGGTCCTTCTGCATACGGTTGCCTTCGTGGGTACTTAAGATAGTAACCCAAAGGTGAAAGCAATACTGGAGAACTGACGCCGATGGGGACAATAGAGACGATAATAGTTATTTTTGACCTATTTTCCGCCAGCAGCCGGTCTACACCATTGGTAGAGTGAGAGGACCTCAAACTTGTGTCCCAGGCAGCTAAGCAGCTGGCATGTGAACCTAACGGTCTATCAGCAAAACCATGTGATCACGTCCTGTGGGCTGCAAACGTTACTACGCGCACGTATAAAGCAAAAACACCTTTGGGCTGTCGTGTTGATCTTTGAAGGCTAAATACTTAACCCTACATGACATTTTAGGTCTTTTTAATCAGATTTATTTATTTAGGGTTGAGGCTGGGCTTTGTCTGCGAAAAAGGCAGTTGTGCTTTGCGCTCAATCTGAAGCACGCTGGCCCCAGGAAAGACAGGCATTTTGGGTGCAGTGAAACACTTCAGCAAGACTGACTAATCTCTTGCTAACATTGCCGTGGACTCAAAGTAGGGTTTTTATGAGAAACTTCGATGAAAAGGCATAAATTAAGAGGAACTGCGATTGCAACAGCTCGTTTCTCCGTGCTACTGTAATTTTTGGTAGTTTGGTAAAATGTGGTTTGGCAACCCAACCTGATGGACGCAATACTGTTGGGGCTGGGGTCAAGGGTTAGGGGTTATGATTGGTGGTTATGGATAGGGGTTGTGGTTAGCGGTTAGGGTTAAAGGTTAGGGTTAGAGGTTGGGGTTCAGGATTAGCGGTTATAGTTAGAGGCTAACGGTAGGCTAAGCGGTTAGCGCAACTGTTTCTCAACAATTGAAAGTACAACCACGCACTCCCAATAGTTTTTCTTTTGCATATAACTACTTGACCTCGTCGCCTGTGCGTCCTCCGGCTCTACCTGTAAAAAGCCCTTTTACCACCGATCCCTTATTAGAGGTGACTGGGGTTTATTTACTTCAGGTTGAGCTACCAAATCACATCCAACCGGTAGTTTTGCAGACAAACTCCGCTAAGTCCTCTGAAAGAGAGACGAACATTTTTTTCAAGGTGAAACGGAAACTCCACTCCAGAAAAATGAATGAGAAATTACTTCAGCTTTCCTAAATTCAGTTTTTATTCAGCTATCAGAGCTGCACATTAGTCTGCAAGACTAGGATGCAGGACGACTTTACCAAGATGCCTTCTCATCTAGTGAAGTTAAGGCATAAGAGGTTCATACAGCCCGTGCGGATTTTGCGGTCAGTAATAAATGCAGTTTTGGGCGCCAGAGAGACTACGTAACATCTGAAAATCGATGGCATTCACTTACACGTGGAGGGGCATTTATGAGAACTGACGTGCTGTTCAAGTAAGATTCAACAGCCCTAAGTGCAGTAGTTGGAATGGACCCCCACTCTATGCTATTGCCTTATTTCTAATTCGTATTTGGCTCGACTTCTGAGGCTTTAAATGTCGAATGCCTAAAACGCCAAACTTCTTTGTATCTATGGGCAGTCGTATTTCCTTCCTTGCCTCGCGCAAACCTACTAATAGTGGGCGACAAATTAACTGTAGGTTCAAGCACCCAGTATTCACCAAGACACGGCGGCTTTGAGAACTCAGCTAAGAGTGTGCCTTGTGTGTTCTTCATTGATATCGGGATTGAGGGCTAAGTCGCCGGTCTGTCAGAGGCTGAGAAAATAGTCATCCCACGGGATTCTTTCTCAAATGGTGGAAAAGTAGCCAGAAACTACACGGGAACTTACAGGATATAGCGTTAAAATCAACCGCTTGTGCCCGTGATGGGAGCGATGCTACCTGAAAAATTTTAAGCAACTAGGCACTCGAGCAACATTCAAACACAACTAAACTTTGACCTCGCTTGGGGCTGCGGAGATGCTCAGACGCGTTATCCAATTCAGCGTTTTGCCAGATCCCTATATCAGACCACACTTCAAGCGTTTTTAATGGTTGCCTTATGTTTTATGTGAAGGCAGACATCTTTAAGAAGTCGTAAGCGTTTTTAGAACAAACGATTTTTCATTTATGGAAGTATAAGTGGGAGTTGCACATAATTTGGAAGCCTCATCGTAACGGGTCACTGTTATTTGCAGCAGCTTTATGTGGATTCAAAGAGTACTTTGAAAAATTATCAGTCACGAGAATGTCGTTGTGTGTGGTTTGGGTACTGTCTTATATTCGAGTTCAAGCATTCCACCTGTGTTGCAAGGTATGCCTCCAAAACATCCGATCCTATCAGTGTCAGGGCTTCCGAGGGAAAAAAATATTCATTTACGGCATCAAAAATTGGTAAAGAAAGCGAGTAAAGTCAAAGTTACGGTTGTACACTGTGTCCACGAAATTGGACGCTATGTAAAATTCTTCAGTCCTATAATTTTATCGGTCATTCAAAGCAGACAGAGGAAAAGTATAATTGCCAAAATTTTTACATGAAAGGCATATCGCAGCGGTCACCAGACATAGTAAGCCTCTCGAATCAGTATGGCCTGGCGTTCTATTTAACAATTCCTGACTCCCAGCTGCACACTTCTCCACTATGTGACGCATTTTTCTTCCTTTATCTAATATTGTTTTTCGAACTTGAAAAAACTCAAGCGGTCTACATCCTAAGTATCGAGTAACTCTTCTGCTATTTCGTCATAAAGGTTTCGAACTACATTCTGCCAATTTATTCTGGAGGTCCCCTTTGCAGCATTGGTGGTTGTTATCAGTTTTCAACCAACATCAGAATTTCTTATCTAATCCGTTGTCATTTCGTTTGTAACCAGAATTTCAGCAGGTAGGCGTGTTTAAATGAGCTAAAGTGAATGCACTACTATCAACCGAGAAATAACTAGTTCTGGAGCACTAAGGAAATAACTTTTAATATTTCCTTCAGGAATTTATTAATTCTCATGAGCTCACAATGCCATTATAAAGACAGGGGAGAAAATATAGTCCCACTACCAGCCTGGAATGACGGATCTCTTTTAGGTAATGCAGTCGACAGCCGACCAGAAATGAAGGCAACTCCGGTCGTCCGGGAACTGACTCGCTACAAAGTGGACGTTACGGCTCTCAACTAGACCCACTTCTCTAAACGGAGACTGCCAGAGGAGGTGGGCACTGGATATGCCCAAAGGCGGATCGCCAAGTGTCCGGAGGACACCTTTCATTTTCAAGAAGGCTGTCGTGAAAAGGCCGCCTTGCCTCCCTCAGGCAATAGACGGTAGTCCTGTGGCCGTGAGACTGTCGTTCCGCAGAAACAGCTTCGCTGTCTTTATCGGCATCTATGCTCCTAGCATGATGCGCCCCGACAACTTGGAAGGTAAACTCTACGTCCTCTTGGCGACTGGGTCAGAAACAGGCAAATCGGTTGTCTTCGGTAAAGTTAGTGCCCGTGCAGGAGCAGACCACCCTACTCGGGGTGGGAGTGCTAGGCAGCCAATTGATTGGCAGCTGCAACAGTAATGACTTCCTCCTCCTCCTCCTCCTCCTCCTCCTCCTCCTCCTCGTGGAGGTCTGCACAGAACATAACCTGCTCCTGATCTTCAGCACCTCCTTTCACATTCAGAACGGGGAGGAGCCGCGTGGATGCGCCCACGCTCGCGCTACTAGCAATTGCGGGACTACACTGTCGTCAGGAAACCTAATTAGTGTGACGTATTAGTAACAAGGGCGATGTTGGATCGGCCACCGCCTCGACGTCTCGAGGATGAGATCATAAATCGAACTCTATAGGCGTTCGCAAGATGAGAAGACACCAGATAACCTAAATGCTGCCTTATTAGACACGACTGAGCGCTAATTGGATTTTGGCAATCTCATGAATCCCGGCCTGAACCAAATACAAGAAGTGGAAGAAAAGGCCAAAGTTGAAGCCCATTGGAAAGAACTTTAGGAATTCCTTCAGACCAGCGCGTTGGGAGCTCGCGGCTGTGTACACTGACAGCACCATGACTGGTAGGACGACCATGACATAGAGCTCCGAAACCTACTCTCTGAGGCGAACGGTCAACATATGTCCTCTGCCGACGACAAGACCGGAGCCAAAGAAGCAACTTACTTTTGGTGTCGAAGCCTGCTGTAACGGGGACTCTGGGAAGTTATAACGATTGACTCACTGGCTCTGTGTTGAAAAAATTTAGGGACATACCAGGTGCGATGAGATGAGCAATGTCTTCGCGGTCAGAAAAGTAGTCTACAGTCTTCAAGTCTGCGAGAAGTAGCAGATCCTGGAGTGCTGGTTGACCACTGCAAATATGTACTCGATCACCCATCCATAATCTGTGGGGAAGCTACCAAATGACTTCATTAGGTCCTCTCCGAAAGAGACAATAAATGCAGTTCCACAGCTGTCCAGCAGAAAAGCATCAGGCACTTACTCGATTATGAAAGAAAATCAGCTAGATCGCACTTGGTAGCCAGGCTCTGTATTACAGGTGGCTGGGGGGTTTGTTTACTGGGGTTATTTTGTGGGGTTCCATAATCACATCTGACCCATTTGACTTCCGTTTTACGTTTGAGGTTAGGATTAGGATACCAGTTAACGGTTTTCGATTTTCGGGTTAGGATTATGCATCTAGGCTTAGGTTTTTGGGTTACTGTTAGGGTTTGAGCGTATGATTAGGTTTCAGCATTACGGCTAGGTTTTTCAGTTACGGCTATGTCTTAGGGCTACGGTTACGTCTACGATTTCGGTTAGGGTTAGGGTTGCCATTAGGGTTAACGGTTGACGTTTAAGTTTGAGGTTAGAGTTGGGTTAAAGGCAAGGATCAGTGTTAGTGTCACCATCCGCTTCCTCATTCCTGACTACCAACTGCGATCTAACCAGAAAATCTACAGATAAGGTGGTCCAGAAGGTCATGCATAAGTGGATTTTATTGTTCCAGACGATGTTAGTACAGGAGCGAATTCCCGAGGGTTCAAGGAGGTCAGAAAGCCATCAACTATGTAACAACCACTGAGGCACTAACCGCACCAAAATTGCCGGTTATATCTTTGCCCTTATCCTGGTTAATCGACTGAATACGCATCTGGGACAGGGACTCCTCCCCAAACGGTAGCAAGGCATCCGTGAGCACTGTACAGCGGCCGATATCGTGAAACGCTGACGGAAATTCTGGAATTCGTTTGTAATTAGGAAGGATCTCTTTAGTGGGCTTGTAATATTGATTAGCGAGCAGAATTGTGTCCCTACAGCGGGCCACGAGGCAAATGCGCTGGATCAACACGGGCCGAGATCAGGGCATGACCGATGTTATTGGGGATATGCGCCCATAAAAAAATGTCACTCAAGAGGGTGTGTAGTGGAACACCTGGGTGCAAGCTCGGTCAGCGCCAGCCACCAGCACCCGATCTCGCCTCCGGTCTTCTTGACTCTGTGATGACACCGGGCCTAGGTGGGTGAAGGAGTGAGGTAGTTGCTGCACAAGCCCACTTTCCCTATGAACTAATTAACAGATAGGTTATTGTTCCTGCGCCCGCCCTGCGGACATCGTTGGAATCGACGGTCGAACTGTCATCGTGAAGCATAATCCCAAAATATTTCAGATAGGCCAGGATATTGGCTTTCAAATGCCCTTTTGTCGGCCTTCTGGAAGAATCACACTCGGTAAAAATCGAGTACATCAATAATATAAAGGTTTTCTACTTATTTTTGATGCCCTTATAAATCCGATTATATTTTGCAGACTACACACAAACAAATATTCTTTCTTATATTCATTTTTTTGGAAATAACTTCTTTTTCAGATTTTATACCCAAAGGAAGGCCATATTTAGGTTTTGAAAACGTTTTTTCAGTTCCGAATAATTTTGAGCCCGATGTTTCATTTCACTTGCTTTTAGGATTTTCAATCTATAAACTGCATGCTTTCCATATTGGGACAATCATGCATTCCTTTATGCCACTAAGAAAATACCATATAGGGCTCATAAAAGTTTGCAATAGATATGAACTTTGTCGTATAGTTTGTGTGGAACATTCGACAGATATGAAAATTCCCGAGTACAAATCGGTTTTCCAAAGAGCATACTCTTGTTTCATTACATCATCTTGGACTGCCCGCAACATCACTTATTCAGATATAATACTGTCTACATGGACATTACCTGGTCTTGTATAATCTCACAATTACGAACTTTTTTAAAAAACGGAAAGACACCCCTTCTTCGAGTAAGACATATTTGAATTTGTAGGAACGCTAACAATCAATAGAAGTAATTCATTTTATTCAAGTAACCACTTTTTGCCGTGTACTATTTTTGCAGATGGCCGAAACGAAGTGCATTCAAAAGCCAACGTCCTGACGTGTCTGAAATATCTTGCAATGATGCTGCGCGATAATCATTATTAAAACCCCACTTAAGTAATCCTTTCAAATCAAAAATACATTTCAGAATTTTGATCACCATTTCATGAGACCGGTTACTGGTTGTGCATTCAAAAAAATGACTCTGCAGTAAGCAGACTGCAGCAAAAGGTTCAAGAAGTGGAACAAGCCCATACACTACCTTTGTGGATCAAATGGAAACTGTCGTCATAGTGAAACGCGATGAACTCTGAAAGGCCATGCTGAAATTCGGATATCCTGCGCAATCCACGGGATGACAGCTCCCGTCACAGACAACGTGGCAGGATAGGAAGCATTCGGGAGGGCAAACTGTGTGAAGTACTCCCTCCCACTCACTTGTGTCCCATCGCCCTGCGACATGCTGATGGACGACGCCTTACCGTGAGGGACTGCCGGAAATCAATATTGATTACCGAACTGGTTGGACGGCCGCTCCCCACCTGCACACGCACAAACGCCCCCAGGCTAAACACGAAGCCCCCTCCCCAGCTGCAGCCTGTGGAAGGTAGAGCAGGTCGTGTGCGTCCGTCATGGACGAGCTGTTATCAGCCACTACGCCCACGCCCGCCTCAGGTCACTCCGACTTTGGCATGCAAGATGGGTGATGGGGGGAGAGTGTGCGTTGGACGTATCACAAGTCTGATTCATTATGAACAAAGCGACGCGCATGTCATCGCAGTTGCGTCCTCTTCGTGGGACAAGAGTTGGTGTCGTCATCTGCGACGGTCGAACTGTCACATTAACCCGGATATACAGCTGCTCAATTAGGACAACAGTTGGAGAACAGTTGATGTCGTCACCTGCGACAGCCGAACTGTCACATTAACCCCCGCATACAGCTGCTCATAAGTTGTTCGGCAGCCGACAAATTATGAGAGCCTGGAAGACAACTTTTTTCCCTTTTTAGCTTTTGACTGAGGTAAGTGCACGTTTGACCAAATTAGCATCTACTTTTGAACAAAATCAAACACTGCACTCGCGACAAGTTTTATTATCCTCTCTCTCTCTCCCCTATAAACCGCTCGAAATTGACTAATTATGCAGAATTCAATCTTTGTAATAACTTCTTGCACAATCGCGCACAGGTGGAACCTCAGATTCGTGCAACCGTTACCAGGGCTTGAACGATGGCTTAGTGCCGTGCGTCTATTTGACTCAAGCATATCTACGAGGGCTATACTGCAGATGACCAGTCGGATTAATTATATGCCTTCCCCCGGAAAGACATGAGAACAGGGAACGCCCCCAATACAGGTAACTTTGCGCTAAATTCCAGGAAGATCAGGGTTAGGGTTAAAGTTTGGGTAAAGGTCAGTATTAGAGTTAGGACACGGGGATATTAACCCTTCCGGTAATTTGGCTCAAGGCCGCCTGTAGTATGTGGACGGGGCGTTCCTATTTCCGTGCCCTGTTTGGTGGGCCATAAAAGCTATTTGGACCCAGTTTTCTTCACTAACCGTCTGTGCTAGAAAAAAATTGACGTAAGTCGGAAAATATATCCAGTTCGTAGTCATTAAATCCCCTCTTCACACTGCTGGAACCGAGTGACCGATCATAAGTCTGCGTGTATATTGATAGATTCATATCTGGAAAAACGTAAATGGATACGATTGACCGTCCTGATCGATCAGGCTGGGGATTTGGTGATTGGGGTCAAAAGTACACCACGTCCACTCGCGCAAAGCGACCATGCTGACAACAGCGGTGGCAGGGCAACAGAGACGTGGGCCACTGAGACAACAGCTGTTTTGTCGCAGTCGTCTCTTCGTTGAGTCAGTCATACCTCCTCTCACTGACTACTTGGCAAGATCTTATTTATAACCATCGGCATAACGCGTAGCCTCATGTTTGTATCTCCGACCACCCCTGTTGGTCAGCGGTGTGACTGGCTGAATGAAGGCCTTACTAAGCCATAAAGAGATCCCGCGTAATCCACTGCGAAATGGACGGGGTTGTTTGAATGTGGTGAGGGCACTTTTTGGTGGCACCCAGGATGGGATCGTTGTAACCGCGTGTCGGTGAAATTGACCTGTATCCCCTCCCTCACAACTGCCGATACGCCCTGCCTCGACACTCTCCACAGCACCCCCCCTTCACTTCTCACATCCTTTCCCCGCAGTTGCCCACAGCGCTGCATTCCCCACCGGCAGTCTAACAGGCATGACGAAACCACAACCAACCCCAGATGGGTCATCTATACACGTAACACCTCTCTTGCTTCTATCGCTGCAGCCCCTCTTACTACTCTACCTACTTATTTGCCGTTATATATATTTTATGCACATTTAACCCCCTTTTTTCATTATGTACTTAAATCTGCGTCTGTTGCGTTGCTTAAAGACTCTTTTCAGTCATTTCGTAGCCAGGACACGACTCCAAACTCTTTAATCAATCGCATGTGCATCGTTATCAACTTTTTCGACAGCTACAGCCGTCTTAGTATCATGCAAAGTCAAATTGGCAAACATATGTTGCCCGGCATTTCATCACCACGCCCCTACAATTGTAAAGAGAATGAGCATGAGAGTCGTGGACAGAGTTTATTAGTGTCTCGGAGGTTGGTCACACTCGTTCCCACGCCTCCCGCATAACGAAGTCGGCGTCTTGTAGTCATTAGGGCTGGGGGGGGGGGAGAGAGGCTGGGTGGAGGTGAGGTGTGAGCGATATCTTCGTGCACACGACTGTCACTGGGGGGGTGGGTTGCGTGAGAGCACCACCTGGAGTCGGCGTTGTACACGGGAGATAGTGCGCATGCACCAACGTCTTCTCCTAAGGCGCTGGAGTAGTTTTATGGTACCCGGCAGACAACCGGGGAAGCTTCTTTGGTATCGACTCGGCGGTTCGTGTAGACTAGATGGACGAAAATAGGACTTTAGATCGATCTACTTTCGCCTCGACCCAGCCAAGCAGGTATGTGTTCAAGT